AAGGGGTGGAGCTTTGCTCTGGATCAAATGCTGTCAGGAAGCAGGGGGTAATTCTTAAAATTGGTTATCTAATCACTCCTAGAAGGAGGGCAGACTAGTCTGAGGCTTAAGTTGTAATTGGTAAAGAAGCAGTAATCACTGTTCTTAGGCAAGATGGGGGATGTTTGGTCATTTTGTGGTTTGGACCACGTTCGGGTTTCAGTGGATTGTTGAAACATGATTACAGAGGGTTACAGGGTTTTTGTCTTGCTACATCAACCTCACAGCACAGCCTTGTCTAATGTTCATGTTCTGTGAAATTGCTTATATTTGACAGGAGAATGCCAAGTCCTATCTGTAAGAACCAGGCCAACTCCTCATGCTAGTGGCTGCTTTTCTCTTTCTCTTTCTCACCAAGATAATGGCATCCAGTGGGTACCTTGTCTAGACAACAACCTCCAGCCACTCACTCCTCTGTACTATATAATTTTGCCCTTTTATTTGACACTTCTACAGAAATACTAGATTACTGGGTAAATTCTAACATTCAACCTCAACTTGTGACATCGTTTATAGATTAATAAATGTTCTGTGTTTCGTCTTATAAGTGAAGCTGTGAACCACAAAATTAGTACTTTGTTTGCTTTCTTTCATGACTCTAGGAATCTTTTAATGAAGCAATATTTGCAGTTCATATAGCTAACAGAGTGTTTCCACACAGAATATAAAAATTCTTATTAAAATGTTTAAAGATTATTAAGTTAAAAATGCATACAAGACTAGACAAAAGCAGAAAGTTGGTTTGTGGGCATAAATTTGGAAGTAGAATTAGTTTTATGACTAGAATATATCCATCTATATCACAGAGCTACACTCTTGTCTTTCCTGAGTGATACTTTAGTATTTGCGTCTGTGGCTTTCATTTTTCCAGTTTCTGCTGGCCAAAAGAATCCCCCTTCTGGTTGCAACTTCTATGTTAGCTTATAAATAGCTTTTATGTTAGCTAAGTTATGTCCTGAGAACCATTGCTTATCCTAAAGCTTAATGTTTTTCATGCCTTGGCTCCAATCTACCATGACTTACATTTATTTTATTATTTTATTATTTTTTTTTTTGAGATGGAGTCTTGCTCTGATGTCCAGGCTGGAGTGCAGTGGAGTGATCTTGGCTTACTGCAACCTCTGCCTCCTGGGTTCAAGCAATTCTCCAGTCTCAGCCTCCTGAGTAGCTGGGATTACACGTGTGCGCCACCATGCCCAGTTAATTTTTGTATTTTTAGTAGAGACAGGGTTTCTCCATGTTTGCCAGGCTGGTCTTGAACTCCTGACCTCAGGTGATCCACCCGCCTCAGCCTCCCAAAGTGCTGTGGTTACAGGTGTGAGCCACTGTACCTGGCCACTAGTTGCATTTATAAGCCTATTTAAGTTAGGCTTATTAAGCCTATTAAAAGTAAGGATAAGTTTTATTTCCAAGCTGTAATATTTACACTAACAGGGAAGGAGGTGGAGGAGAGGAAAAACTTTTACTCTCTTAATTATGTACTTTGGGCCTATAAATTAAGTTGATAAAAGACATGCAATTAACAGGAGAAAAAGCACACAAATTTTATTAATATTTTTACATGCATGGCAGCCTCACAGATAAGAAGTGAAAACCTAAAGATGTAGTTAAATGTAGGAGATTATGTACCATTTTAACAAAGGGCAATAAATTGTGGAGAGGTGACTAGTCAAAAGAAAGGGACTTGGGTTCCTAAGGGCAGTAAATTATGGGAAGGTGACTATGAAATGTATGGTAGATAAGAATTGTGTAGTAAGGTTTGTTTGGCAGATTCAGTTTGGTACCATCTCAGGTCTTCCTGGTAGAGAAGAAGGGAACACCTTTATAAAGGAAAATGTATGTCATCTTTCCAAAGGGAAATTTATTCTCTGCTTTTAGGTGAAAAGGGGAAAGGGAGAGAGCTCTTCCTGTGTCTATTGTTTCTCAATTGCCTTCAGCTCAAAATAATCTTTATGCCAAAGTGTCATATTTTTTGGGTGGCATATTCTAATCCTTTCCGGGGTGGTTGATAACTCACGTTTTATCTATTGGGCTATCACAGTTTTATGTCAAAAAATGAAGGACAATGAGGTGATCTTTTTCTTCTAGAAAATCTTCAAAAGCCCATTCATTCACAGGGATACAACTAGTGTTACCGGTAGAGGGTCTTGACTGCAAGTTGTCCAGGTTCTTGGCATTTTGAACAAAGAATTGGACAAAACACACAGCAAAGCAAGGAATGAATGAAGCAACAAAAGCTGAGATTTATTGAAAGTGAAATTACACTCCACAGTGTGAGAGTGGACAGAGCAGCAGCTCAAGGGCCCCAGATACACAATCTTCTCAGGTCCAAATACCCACTAGGGGTTTTCCATTGGCCACTTGGTGTTCACCTCATGTAAAGAAAGTAGTGGTCTACAATCAGTCTGATTGGTTGTGGAAAGCAACCAATCAGAAGCTGAAGTGAAGTTACAAAGATCACATGCCTATGCAAACATCTGATTGGCTGCAGAAAGCAACTAATCAGAGGCTAAGATGAAGTTACAAAGTTGCACTTCTATGCAAACGAAGACTTGACCTGCAATCAGAAACTGAAGCGAAATTACAAAGTTACCCTCCGAGGCAAACATTCAGGGCATCGCCAATGATGGATGCCATAATTTTGGCTTGCCATTTTGTTTACTCTGTTTCCTTTTTCCTTCCTTCAGGTCACGATTGTTATAAACCATAAATGTGATATAAATAAGCTGATTTTGATTAGTTTGTGGCCCCATCTGTAGCTTTTGGAGCTTATCTCTAATGTCTGGGGCAGATTGGCCAATGAAATGCTGTGCTATTAATATTTTGCCTTCGGGAGAGGAGGGTCCAGATTAGTATATTTTTAAAAGGCTCCCTCCAGCCTGCCATAAAACATGGCTGGATTTTCCTCCTTGCCTTGTGTAACCTCCCTTACTTTATCATAGTTTACTGCCTTAGTTATTCCCTTTCTCATTCCTCCAAGAAATTTATCCTGGTTGTTCATTCCCTTAGGAGTGTTATAGTCCCAATTAGGATCAATAGTGGGAACTGTGTCTGGGCCAGGGTGATTGCCCTGAGGGTTTTGGCAAATAATTCATTGCTTCCGGGTGGGTGGTCTCAAAGATTCCTTCCTTTTCTGAGGGTGTGCAACAGGTTGCTAAAATGAATTGAACATCTCTCCATGAGAGATCAAAGGCTAAGATCAAAGGTTGAAACCCATCTGTAAATTTCCTAGGATTCTCAGAATAGCTTCCTAGCTTTTCCTTACATTGTATATATCAGTTATAGAGAAGGGGGCCTGCACTAGGACTGGTCCCTTGGTTCCTGCTACTTCCCTAAGAGATAGCAGGGCTGGAGAGAGAATTGAATATGGCGTTCCTCTCTGAATGTGACGGGGATTTAGTAGGGTGTTTGCTCCTGGGTTTTAGCCTCAGGAGCACTTGGCAAGGGGCTATAAAGGGGTGGTTGCTGTTCACCCTGAGAGACAGCTAGCCCTTGTAAAAGGGGGTGATATATAATATCTAGTTCTGCCTTAGCACTTTCCTTTGGGGGGTGGGTTCTGGGAGTTTCAGATTGTTAAGTTTTTGATATTGGATCATAAAAGTCTGTACATATGGGACTTCTGACCATCTTCCTGGCCTCTTGTAAAGTAGGTCTAACTGCAGGATGGTGTCATAATTAAGGCTATCATGACTTTGGACATTGACTGCCCATTGTTGGGGGCTTGGAAGCTCATACTGGGGCCAAACAGTATTGCAAAAAAAAAAATTATACATTTTCCCTTTAGAGTGTCAGGGTCAAATTGATTCCAATGGTGGATGATGTAGCCAAATGAGGAATCCGGTAGAATAGGTCTAGAATTGCCCACAGTGGAATAAGGTGGAATAGATTGAGAGTTGCCCATAGTGGTCTGGAAAAGAGAAGAGGACTTTGAAAAGTAGAGGGCCCATTAGGTGACCCAAACTTCACCCAGGGCATCCCCTGAAAAAAATCTGAACCCAGACTGGAGTTCCCAGGGATGTCCCTACTTTAGGGCCCTGATTTAGTCTGTCAGATGTCTCTGACCTTAAATGGGGGCTGGCACTGCTTTGGGATGGGTCCCTCCACCACTGAGGACCTACTATGAACTTTCCTTAAGGTTTTTCTGTCCCACTTAAAGCAACCCTTTAACCTTTTAAATTTAGACAACAAGTTCCCTTTCATGAATTTCCCCCCATGCCCCACACAGACCACCTCCGACATGCCCAGACCCTCTGACTTGTATAACTTTTTTGCAGTCTGTCCTTTAGCCAGATGAGTAGGGGAAGGGAAGAATTTAGCATAAGAAAAGAAGGTTTAAGTTGCCTGAAATGTGTGTGAGTTCGCCCAGGATGAGCTTCTGCTGCCAACTGCATCACATGTAAGGATCAGGGACTATAGCTGGAAGGGACAGAAAAGAGGCCTTCCCTCTTCAAGGCAGGGCAGTCATCCCTGTTCACTCCTTGCCCTCAGACAACACCAGAGAGTGGCCCTGGCCAGCTCCCCTCAATTGCCAAGGAGCTACTAGAAAACAGCCACTGAAAGACTGGAAAAGAAAAAAAGGAAAATAGAAAGAGGAAAAAAGGAATAGGACTCGGAAAAACAGAAACAAGGAAAAGGACTCGGGTCCCTCACCCCAACCCTGCGGTGTTAGTCAGACGCTTCCACATGGAGGCCTTTCAGTTTCACCAGAGAGAGGCCCTGGCCAGAAACTTGCAGTTGTCGCCGTGCTTAGGCGCTGTCCACCGCGAGTCCCGAGTTGGAAAGGAAAAGAAAGAGAGAAAGATTCCCCTGTATGTAGCAGAGAGGAGAAGAAGAAAGGAGAAAAATAAATCCCAAACTTTAGGCTTCCCTCCTACCTGGCTCGCGAGACCAGTAGAGGGTCTTGACTGCAAGTTGTCCAGATTCTTGGCGTTTTGAACAAAGAATTGGACAAAAAGCACAGCAAAGCAAGGAAAGCAGAGATTTATTGAAAGTGAAAGTACACTTCACAGTGTGGGAGTGAGCCCAAGCAGCAGCTCAAGGTCCCCAGATACAGAATCTTCTCAGGTCCAAATACCCGCTAGAGGTTTCCCATTGGCCATCCTACTTGGTGTTCGCCTCATGTAAATGAAGTGGTGGCCCGCAATCAGAGGCTAAAGTTACAAAGTTGCACTTCCATACAAATGAAGACTCGGCCCACAGTCAGTCTCATTGGTTGCAGACAGCAAGTTGTCCAGGTTCTTGGCATTTTGAACAAATAATTGTACAAAACCCACAGTAAAGCTAGGAAAGAATGAAGCAAGGAAAGCAGAGATTTATTCAAAGTGAAAGTACACTCCACAGTGTGGGAGCAGGCTGAGCAGCAGCTCAAGGGCCCCAGATACAGAATCTTGTCAGGTCCAAATACCCCCTAGAGGTTTCCCATTGGCCACTTACTTGGTGCTCACCCCATGTAAATGAAGTGGTGGCCCGCAATCAGAGGCTAAACAGAAGTTACAATGTTGCACTTCTATGCAAAGGAAGACTTGGCCCGCAATCAGTCTGATTGGTTGGGGATGGCAACCAATCAGAGGCTGAAGTGAAGTTACAAAGTTACACTCTATGCAAACATCTGATTAGTTGCAGAAAGCAATCAATCAGAGGTACTTTCAATTTTCCAGCTGCAGCACAGAAAAGGTGGGGGTTTGCAAAGGGAGTGGCCTCTGGGCCTTTTGTTACTTAGGAGTGGAAAGTTAGGGTTTTCCTTTCCAAATGGCTCTAGGAAGTCAGTGAGAAACGGCCTTAGATTCTCTGCTTCCAGACCCTGTTCTCCTACCTCACTAGCAGAGTACAGTGTGCACTTCCTGAAAATGGAAGCTGTTTTGCTAATAATTTTAACTTGACAGAAAAGTAGGGTGATCAGATAAAATACCCTATGTCCCATGGAATAGTTGGAATGTACTTAAATTATTTTTCATTGATTATCTGAAATTAAAATTTACCTGGGCATATTGTACTTTTATTTTCTATATCCGACAATCTTACACAGAAGTCATGGGAAACTCAGAAAAGGTTGTCCAAATTATTCTGGCAGAGAGGAGTAGAAGTAACAAATGCCATTTAGGCTGGGTGCAGTGGTTCATATCTGTAACCCCAGCACTTTGGGAAGCCGAAGCAGATCACGAGGTCAGGAGATCGAGACCATCCTGGCCAGTATGGTGAAACCCCATCTCTACTAAAAATACAAAAATTAGCTGGGCGTCATGGTGCGTGCCTGTAATCCCAGCTACTCGAGAGGTTGAGGCAGGAGAATTGCTTGGACCAGGGAGTCGGAGGTTGCAGTGAGCCAAGATGGCACCACTGCACTCCAGCCTGGTGACAGAGCGAGATTCCATCTCAAAAACAAGAAACAAAACAAAACAAAACAAATGCCATTAAAAAAATTAAACAAACAACCAACAAAACTGTGGGGCCGGGCGTGGTGGCTCACATCTGTAATCCCCGCACTGTGGGAGACCGAGGCAGGTGGATCACCTGAGGTCAGGAGTTTGAGAATAGCCTAGCCTGGCCAACATGGTGAAACCCCATTTCTACTAAAAATACAAAAAAATAACTGGGCATGGTGGCTGGCGCCTGTAATCCCACCTACTTGGGAGGTAGAGGCACGAGAATCGCTTGAACCTGGGAGGCAGAGGTTGCAGTGAGTTGAGATCCAGCCACTGTACTCCATCCTAGGCAACAGGGAGGCTCTGTTTCAACCAAAAAAAAAAAAAATTTGTGGTAAAATATACATAATAGAAAACTTACCGTCTAACCATTTTTAAGTGTACATTTCTGTGACATTAGCATATTTGCATTGTTGTGCAGTCATCACCATTCATCCTAACTTTTTCACCAACCCATACTGAAGCTCTATGCCATTAAACAGTAAATCCCCATCCCTCCTTCCCTAGACTCTACAACCACTGCTCTACTTTCTGTCTCTATGAATATAACAGCACCATAGTATTGGCGGTAAATCAGAGTTGGCAAATGCAATCTGAAGCAGAGGAAAGGAGAAAGTCATAACCCTCAAGTTTTACAGTCCCATTAAAAGTATTAGTACTTTGAGAAAAGGACCGTCACGATCATGGAGAGAATGAAGGAAACACTCCATTTCTTTCCAGTTTGCAACTGGAATTGCCACTCTAACTTTCGCCTTTCGGCATGGCAACACCCAGGACACGAACGCCCACAACGCAGGTCCTCCATTTTGTGACCTGCGTGGAGGGCGGGGCAATCTCTCTCCGCCACGCCCCGGCACCGGGTAGACATCGCAGCCAGGTAACCAAGGAACCCAAAGTGAGGTGTTGGCCAGGAGAGGCTGGATCCGGAAGTGAGGGGGCCCCTCCGCCCCGCGTCCGAGCTCCGCCCCTGGCCCCTCCCACCGGACCCCGGCCGACCTAGATGACGTGTCCGAATAAGAGTTGGCGAGGTGCGGCCGGCCTGCCCTGCGCGTGCGTGATACGCGCACCGGTGGAGTCGGTAGCAGGAGTCTGGTGGTCGTTTTCATTGAGAAAGGCTCCGCTTCTCCGGGTTTTTGCTGATGCTGAGCCCGGGGGATTGAGGAAACATCGAGCTTTGGAGTGGAAAGGGTTGCAGACTTTTAGACTCCCAAGTCCTTGTGGTCTCAGTCTCCAGAGTGGCTGCGTTACTGCAGGAAGTCACTCCCCTTTCTTAGGCGCATCCTTGGCTGTAAAAGGAGGTTAAATGCCTCTGGAAAACCTCAGGTTTATTTCAGCTTTGAAAGTCCGGTTCCAAATTTAGATCCAGCAGTCGTGTGGCCTGGCCGTTGATGGTCCTGGAGTACTTTCCCCGCGCCTGGGGTCTCTAGGCTGTGTGGATGTAGAGGTGTGGGATGTAGGGGCAGGCACTTACCCGTGGAACTTACATATAAATGGGGGACTGAGACAGCAAACAAACAAACGTGATCCTTCCTGATAGTGGTACATGTGGGATGCCGAGGTTTAAGCAGACGAGTGGTATTAAGAGATTTCAAGGTTTTTGCCAAGAGTGGAAGCTGAGAGGCTTCTGCAGTAAGAAGTCCAGGGCAACTAAGAATTTGACTTGGACCAGGGTGGTAGCTGTGGGCATGGTAAGTACTGAAAGAATTTAGTCCACAGTTTAGCACCCCAGCCAACGGGACTGAAGGACAGGAGGTAGGGATGAGGAAATGAGAAATTTAGGTTCTCCTCCAGGGTTGGGGCCTGAGAAGAGATGGGCAGCGATGCCGTTTCCTGGAAAACTGGGAGAGGATGTGTTTGGGATGAGGGCACTGAGATATAATGAAGGTCAAGTTTTAGGGGTGTCAGAAAAAGAATATAATGAGCAAAAATGTTAGTTTGTTTCCTCCTCTTTCCTATCTGGAGAAAATGTCTGCTTCCTTTTATTGTATTGGAAATCTCCATGACTTCCAAATACAGAATATTTTACAATTTTTCCCTAGCCCTAAATTCAGCGAATATGTTGATTTATTTGAGTGAGAGGACGTGAAAGGGAAGCCACCTAGGCACAGTTTTCTGTCCAGGCCCTACCGGATTAGTTTTTATTTAAAAAAAAAAAAAAGGTGCCATTCTTTGGGCCAAGCGGTGTGCTCAGCGCTTTGCCTCCATTTTTCATTTAATCTTCACAACAACCTTAAGATGAACGTTCTTCTCTAATTCCCAGTTCTCTCTTGATTAACTTGGCTACCCCACTATATGGATCAATTTGCAGGGTCCTACGTCCCTTTGAAAATCTGATGAAAGTTATAAACCTTCCCTGGGAAAAAAGTACAAACACCTGCAATAACTTTAAATAGGAGTTCACCGGCCCTAAACTTTTCTGAGCTTACTGTTTCACAAACTTGCCTATTCTTGAATTCTGAGCTGGAGGTTGTGATTCTCTCTTCTGTACTTTAAGATGATGCACTCTTCCGAAGTTTTCGATTGAACTCTAGTGGCCAACTGAATTGACTTTTTCAGATCACTAAAAAGTTTCTCCTTGAAAAATACTCAGAAGATGAAACACACACACACACACACGTGTACACATACACACGCGGACACCATATAGCATCATCAGTGGGAAAAGTGACAGCATCTTGCTAAAGGGTGATCATACCATATTAATCCGATTCGCCAGAACTACTTGCTTCACTGAGCTCTCAGGTGTGCTCGGGTCTTCCTTTGAAGAAAATAAATGTCACCGCTACCCTCTATTCTACTCCCATTTTCCTCCCCACCCCATTTCCACTCTCCCTTAAAGAGATGTGTGCACACAATCACTGCCCAACGCAGGAATGCATCACTCCATCCAATGCTTGGAAACTGTCCGTGAAGATGCCTTTGAGTAGCTGTCTATTTGAGGATTTGTGGCTAATTCCTCCCCATTTGTTTCCTTAGCCTGCTCCCAACCAGGTGTCTCCCGAACTTTTCCCCTCCGCCACCAACTCCGTCTCCATCAGCAGGTGCTTTCTGTCATAGGGACTGGCGTGCCGCGGACAGTGTGATAAAGAAACCGTATGATGGATATGAGAAATTCGTAAGACCCAGCAGCAAACGGGGAGCGGCTGGCGAGCGCTCCACGGCCCCCAAGCGTAGGAGCTCTGGATCGGAATTTGTAATTCGTAATTGGAACGTGAGCGCCGGAACAGCTCTCCCTGTAACCACCCCAGCTGGCGCGCGGAAAACCCGGAAAGTGGATTTCGCCCCCGCTCCCTCCCGGAAACAACTCCTGGTGCCTGCAACCGTTCTCACTGAGCATGTGCAGACGGCGATGCGCATGCTCTGTCGCGGTCCGGTTCGGTTTCTGTTGCGGGACCCAGGGTGTCTCCTAGCGCAACCGGAACTAGCCGTCCCGGGGCCGGCTTCCTTTATCTCCCGCGGCCTTGTAGTGGTCTCCGAGCCTCCCCACCCCTCCTTCCCTCTTCACCCCCTAGACTTGATTGCCCTTTCCCCGAAACAGCTATCATGAGCGCGAGGCTGCCGGTGTTGTCTCCACCTCGGTGGCCGCGGCTGTTGCTGCTGTCGCTGCTCCTGCTGGGGGCGGCTCCTGGCCCGCGCCGGAGCGGCGCTTTCTACCTGCCCGGCCTGGCGCCCGTCAACTTCTGCGACGAAGAAAAAAAGAGCGACGAGTGCAAGGTGGGTGAGGCCTGACGCGCCCCCTGATACACTGTCGGAAGGGGAAGTCGCCCCTATCCGGGGGAGCTGATCCTCGGGTGGGAGTGAGGGAAGGGGGTGTAGCAGTGGGTGGGGTCGAGTTTCCCCTGAAGCTTTTGGGGTTGGCCGGGCTGTGGGTGGGGGGGGCTCTGGCACAGCCCTTGCAAGGGTAGATTCTGGAGGACTCAGTGGGCCTCAGACTCTCCTCCCGTCTTGCGGGCCAAGTAGCACGAGCAGCTGTATTCAGTTTTCCTGGAACAGGGACCGAGTGGAGCGCCCTTGGAGTTGGGCTTCACGCCTTAGAGCTTTGGAGTTGGATGCATGCAGGTCCACACGTGAGTGTTCGCTCACAGCCCTGTATCATGTACGCTAAGAAAGCGGGTGACCGACTCCTTGCATGTGAGCAACACTCAGCCTAGTTACAGTTTCCATTAGCTTTTAACTTCATTGCTTCCTGTTGAATTGCATTTTCCTGGAACCTCCTGGTTGGTTAGGAGAGCTTGTTCTTTCTAGGACTTTGATACCTCGCATCACAATTAGAAGTTGGTTCCTTATTTGTGGAGTATAACACCCAGAACCGCACAAACTGCATTAATAAAGAGTTGCTGTAATGGTTGAGCCACTTGATTTCTGACTTTTAAGTGTAAAAGATATTAATACCCAAAAATGATACGAGATCTCACTAGTTTCTCTTAGATAGTTTTAAACATTTAAAAGGGGCAAATGATGGGAGAATCTGGTATTTTCCTAGGGCAAGTCTTGAAAACTTTGATTTCTTACAACATTCACACCCAAGGTTTTCAGTTTAATTGCTAGTAAAAGAGGCGTAAGTAAAGTAACCTGCTTTTAGGTTACATGGTGTAGGGCTTTACAGTATTCATACACAACTATTTTGTTAAGTTTATTTAAAACTTAACATTTGGGGGATGAGGATCTCTTTGAAGCCTTTAATGATTTTAACAATTCAAATAATCGTTCAACAAACTTTTACAATCTATAAATAGGCTTATTTATTAAGTTTGATTTTTTTTAAGCTAGTGTTTATTTTATTACTGCTAGCTTTACTATAGCTGTGAATTTTGAGGTTATTTTAGGGCATTAGATAAGCTATTAAATTTTTCATAACATGTGGTGGTTTCTTTTTAGGTTGTCAGCTGTCCTGAATGACATGTTTATACATCTGTGCAAAACCTTGTATCTGAAAAAATATATAAGGATATTTAAGGTTTACCCAAGTCAGCAGTTGACGTTTCAGTACTTAAGTTTATACTCTGCAGTGCAAGAAACTTTTACTCCTTTTTGAGGAGTCTGACTGAAAGACTGTTGTGCTTCCAAGTGGAAGGGAGATCTAGACTTGCAAGTACACTGGTTTTTCCATTAAATATTTTAGTAACCAACCTTCAAAGCCTAGTATTTGGTCTTTAATTTTAACAGCAGTTGTATATTCTATTCCTAGTGCCTCAAAGATGAAAAATATATTTCCTGCCCTCTAGGAACCTCAAAGTAAGGGATATAAGTTTATGAACAGATTAACAGATTATTGAAATCTGATATACGGGATGATGTCCAAGGTGTTCTAAAACACAAATGAGGAAACTATCTGTGGACTAGAGTCTTTAGGGAAAGTTCTATAGAAGAAGTGACACGGCCAGGCGTGGTGGCTCAGGCCTGTAATTCCTTGGGAGGCCGAGGTGGGTGGATTACCTGAGGTCAGGAGTTTGAGACCAGTCTGGCCAATATGGTGAAACCGCATCTCTACTAAGAATACAAAAATTAGCTGGGCGTGGTGGCAGGCATCTGTAATCCCAGCTACTTGGGAGGCTGAGGCAGGGAGAATCGCTTGAACTCAGGAGGCAGAGGTTGCAGTAAGCCGAGATTGTGCCATTGCACTCCAGCCTGGGCGACAGAGCGAGACTTTGTCTCAAAAAAAAAAAAAAAAAAGAAGAAGAAGTGACATTTCAAATGGACTTAGAAAATGAATAAGTGAAACTTACAGGTGGTCTGCCAGTTAGATGATTGTTTTCTCAACAGGTCCTTTGGTAAGTGGCTAGGTTGTGTATTATAGTTGTCTTTTGGTTAATCTTGGGGGGTCATTTTGGATTTTTAATTTTCATGGGTATAGGGATAAAACAGGCAGAGTAGATCATTTTTCCGAAATGTTTGGATTTTTATCTTTATCGCCAGCTACACACACGTTTGGTCAATGGAAACAACTCTTAGAAGAGCAGGAGGGTGTACTTTCAGCATTTTTCCTACGATATGACTAACTGGTGTAGAGAATTTGAAATAAACTTTAATGTTTCTTTTCTTTGCCTTTCAAAGAAGATGCTATAAATAACAGTAAACAGTTGAAATTTGTATTACTTCAATCGGGATATTAATAATTTGTTCTCATCCATTTCGTATTTGTTAAGGACAGTCTTGTATATATTATTCAGAAAAGTGGAAGGAACTTCTTTTAAAAATTAGAAATGAGAGTCGTGAAGTGGAAATGATTCTTTCCAGAGGATGCTGTTAAGTTAGTGAATCTGAAATTGGATAAATTTGGCAGGTCGTTGATGCTATTACCAACGGTTTTTCCATCTGTAAAATAGGGATAATCATATTTGATTATGACATATTCCCCTTGAAAGGTATTTTGCATTTCTTAGAGGAAAAATGCAATATTTGTCATTGTTGTCATAGTGTAGAGATGAAACAAATATATCTTCAACTTATATATAATTTAGGTAGTAGAGTGTTTTTATGTGCTGTAAAGTTTGTCTCATGCATTTACCTCAGGATGTAAATTGAGAGAGAATCAGAAGAACCCTGAGGATTTAGTAATTTTCTCTCTTTAAAAATTATCTTACGTTGAATTTACTAGCAGAGAAACAGGAGTCCAGTGAACATAAAATTCTATTTATGTTGCTGTAACTTCTGATTAATTATCTTAGCCTTCATAGATACTGTATGTTTTCATGGCCTCCTTTTTTTAACTTATTTTACATGCACATGCATTTGGATATTGAGGTGGTGCACATTCTTACTGCTTTTTATAGCCTATACTATTTCATTTTGTTCCTGTACTATCTATGGTTTGCCTAACCATTCTTACTTGTAGGGCATTTAGATTGGGCCCAGTTTTTCTCTATTATAAATAGCTCTGCTACAGTGTATTTAGCAGTAATTATTTGCATATCCCCAAATATAAAATTCTGGGCAAAGATAAGAAGTGTTTTAGTTCCATGTAGTATTGCCAGAT